TGTATGGCCGCAAATGCAACTTTTGTTTAAACAGTGCACAATGACGTGCGCCGAATACCCAGTTCTTGAGAACGATGTCTGGTAGACGTCTCAGGGCGCTCCACTACACTTTCACGAATTCTCTCGATATTTTCTGGAGTACGAACAGTTCGAACACCTTGGCAAGTCTTTAACTTCACCTGTTTGTTCAAATTTCTGGGCCAACGGGCGAATTGTGTTGACACTGGACCAAAATCTTGTCGTATATTCCAAATCGTTGCGTTCAACAACACGGACGCGTTGTGTGATCGTGTAGCGCTCCATAATGAATTGGACACATGTGCTTTAAACAACTACTATGGCGCCACCTACTGAAATGCGTGTATCAAAAATGACGCGCAATGTAAATCAGTCAGTTATATATTGACCACCCTAAATATCGTGAACCAGTATACATCAAATTGTGTCTTTCCTTTCCTTTGAGTAACTCTCAAAGCTCCCATGTTCCGTCAGGAACTATATGGTCATCTACGTTATTCTGAGGCAGTCGTAACATTAACTAACCATTTTTCGGTAATGATATTCATGCAAAAATGATTTAAGCCGATTTCTCACAGCTATACAGCTGGTCGGTTAGAGCCATTTGAATGTTTTCGACTGTCCCAAACTGAGTTTTCCCTTGAGGTGATTTTTCAACTTCGGGAAGAGAAAAAAGTCACAAGGACTCAAGTCTTCTGAATAAGCAGTCAACCAACGCAACGATCTGAACGCACAAGATCCCAAATGGGTAGTAGAGTATATGGTCAAAAGGACAATCTTAAATTGTGAATTTCTTTTTTTCTGATTAAAAATACAAGTACCAATGGATTCAAGAAAATTAAAATTTTAAAATGCCTATCACAAAACTTGAGAACGACAGACGTGTTGAGCTTCAAATCTAAAATAGTTTACAGAAAAAAGTCCTAATGCAGACAATTCTGTTCATCTGGGGAAGTTTGGCTAATTGACCTACGGAATACCAAGCAAATACCTGGCACAGCAGTACGCATGTATCAAAGGAATAAAATACATCAGTGATAGCTCGTGCACCATTCACCCACCCAGGTACACATGATGTCCTGGCAGTTTTTCAAAAATAAATTGGAAAAAAGTTACTTTATGCCTTGTCAGTACGAGTTATTACCTATTGTGACTAGTCGTGTTGAGAATGGACTCCAAAACAACAGCGGATGTTGAGGAACCAACCAAAGACTCTAAGAAAAAATGCAGCTTTGCAAAGGAAGGGTCAGATGAGGAGTCGATAAAAGCAATTGATGACGATTCGTCTGAGGAAGATCTGGATAAAGGAACAAACTTAACAGCTAAAGAAGACATAAAAGAATGCCACGCAGAGAAAACACTGAGCGAAGAAGGTGAAGCAGCCAGTGCTTCACATCAGCCAGCTCTTGCAGATGTCAAAAAACAAAATGAAGTTGGAGAACAGGTCCGTATTAAAAAAACACTCAAGTGCTGAGAAACGTTCAGTGATTGAAGTTATAGCGATCATGGTTCATAAGGCAGTTTAAAATAACTTAAAAATGAATCAAAATTATAATTACCGTTCAACTTTTGTTTTTAATGTGAGCGCAACACTTTCACGTTTATACATGTGTCTCAGTGTGTTTTATTGTGGATTTGAACTAGAAAGTGTTGCGATCATGTTCTCTGTTAAATATTCGAAAATGAGTGAAATTCGGGCAAAAATGAAAGTTCAAACTAAATTGTTCTGAAATTTTTAAATGCAAAAATTTCATAGATGTGATCAGCCTGAAATGTGTTACTTTCAGGGCTGAGAACCTCCATTGTAGACACTAATCATTTCACAAATCGACAAATCATATTATTCGTTTCAGAACTTCATACTATTGACTTAGAAGTAGTGTTGCGACTAAGAGCTCATTAAGTAGTTGAATTATTGGAAAATGTTTAACAAAAATGCCAAATGACGACTTCTGGCATTTAATGAACATTCAAATACTTAAAGAGAAAAATGTCGATGAAAGTTTCAAATACATATATTCTGAAATATTTAATGTCTTATTATTGCGGTCAACTTGAAATTTGAGTTATTTTTAGGACCGAACAATTCTCTTGTGGATCCTTATATTTCATAGTGTAGTACTCTTCCAAACTGCATGGCGTAAAACCACACACAACATGTCTAACAACAATGAAATAGGACAAACGAGCCGGTGAGTTTCCCTCAAAACGTGAAGATGCCCTTGAAGTTTGATCGATTTTTTCAACATATTTTCGTTCGAAATTGGAATAACACGAGAAACAATCACGTTCACGATAAGAACCCATGAAATAATGTCAAGATTCAAATGGTAGTTTTCATTCAAAACAAGTAGAAAAGATGAAAATTTCAAGCATTTCTCTGAATTTCGATCTAACGTTTCCGTTTTCATTGACCGCCTGTGGAGCATTTTTGCAATGATTAGATACTTTGCAAAATATCAAAAAGCCCCCAAATATCACGCTATCACGCGTGAAACGGCGTAATCTGATTACATGTTTTTCTTGTCCATGCATGTGACTGAAGTTCAAGAAATCTTTTTTTATTCCAATGCCTTAACAATTGACGTCAACGCGTTATCAGTTATCGTTTACAAAGAGCAACTGATAAATATTCAACATTCATTTGGAGAATGCTGTTGGAGCGAGAATATTTAAACTTAACAATTGTACCTATTTCCTAAAATAATACCTTATTTTACATATCCAAAATTTGCAAACTGACTACGCTTCTGTTAAACAAAGCAATATTTTTCCAGTATTCGCTATATATCTCTGGCCCACTAAGGACGTTTTTGAGTGTTGCATTTAATCAATGTTCGATGTTTTCAAGTGTGGGAGCGAATCATTGTGATGTCCTTTACTAGGTCTCATAAGTAAGATATACATTTCATATAAAGAATCTGCGCAATTTTCAGATAACCTGATTAAAAGTCCTCTTGGAGAAGAGTTTGATAATATTGGGCAAGCTTTGAGATACTTATTAAGTATCAAAGTTGAGGAATTTAGATGTTTGTTAGTTTTACTTAGCTGAGAAACATGTTACATGTTGATGACGTTTTGTACTTCCAGAAAAAAAAAACATAAAGAGCTTCTAAAGTATCAAATCTTAGCACATTTCTCCGACAATCTTTTCTGCGCACCGTTATATTCGCGTAGTTTAAATAATTTTTTTACGACTTTTGAAAAGACTACTTTTTAGTCGGCATTAAACTTTCATAAATTCCGACTAACGACTCAACAGACATTAGTCGAAATTTTTCATGATAATAACATTCTAAAAGAGAAACTAAACAGAAGAGAAATACAAAATATGTAGGGAGCTTCCGAAAAATGTCATTTTTTTATAATCGCGTACATTTTTTTGTGTTTAAATATATACACGAAACTTCCAAAAATGCCGACTCCCGAAAAGATTGGTACATGTTACATGTACCTATATAGGTACAGAACCGTCGTCATGGATGCCAAAAAGCACCAACGTGTGTCCTGGAAGTTTTGGCACAAAAAGATTTTTTTTAATGAAGAAATTTATTTAAACACTAATTAGTTATCATAAATTACAACTCAATACTTAACTAAACTATAATATCGGATTATGTGGAGTGGCCGATTCTGCTCTAGCAGACGCAACTTTCTTCGAATGAGTATCTCTTGAGTAATGGCATCATGCTAGGTCTGGCCAAAACATAATATGATCATTAGCATGATGTTTGTGGACCAACTGTTGCAATTTGGAATGGCAGTTATCCATATCGCTCTGACTATTCAAATCTTCACCCCTCACTCTTCCCACAAAAGGTTGGGATACATCCCTGCTAGAAATTGCGCACTAGACAAGGATTTTATCTGCAAATTTCGCTTTATGTTTGTATCTAACATTTTCAGGACATTCCTCTTCGTTGTCAGTACAAAATCCGTCGTTTCCCTTCATTTCAGAATTACTCAAAGTGAAATACTTTTCATCTAAAATAATGATTTCTTGTTATACGAAAAGTTGCGCTTCAGAGTATTTGGGGCACTTGAGTCTCCTTCGATATTTAAGACTATTTCTCCTCAATTCCAACATACTCTCAGAAGATCTGTATTGACGAGCGAGTTTCTTTGTTGACATTCCAACCTGATTTGTTACTCTTCTCACCAATCTTTCTGACCTCTGTGCAGTAAATGCACGTGGTCTTCCACTTTTTGGGAGATTCAGACTTTGCATTCCCTGCGCGCCCTCTGCTATTGTTCGATAAATGACAAGCAATATTGGAAACGGCAACAAAATAACTCTCATTGAGCAAGAATCAACCCCACATTGTCGCAGGTTATCTAACAGGACGCAATAACCTGAAAGAGTACCTGCTCCAAATAGGGCTGTACATTGAAGACCTCATGTGAAGAAAATGTAGCAGAGGAATAGATTCAGCCTCAAATATTCTCTGTGAGTGCGAATAGGCAGCAACTTTTTGAGACCTAGATCAGAACCGAGGGAGCTTTCTACAGTGTAAACTCTACCAGTTAGTCAATACTGCTGGATTAGATACTGTAAATCAGGAGGAGCACAATCATCACTAAAGTGATGCAGTGCTTTATTCCTAAGCTTTGATCCTCCATATCACAAAAATGTCCATGACCAAACCTGGTTCCCAATGGGTATTTCAATCAAGAGATAACATACTGCAGTTTACCTATTTTCTGTTTGTGCCTTGCGATTTCGTTTAGACGCAAAGGCAAAGGTCCTTGCAGTTAGATTTAATGAATTTAGTATGTCTCGTTAACAAAATAATTCTACTGAATCCAGATGTACGGATATCAGACAGTGTCCGGGTTATCAAATTGTGCCGTGTAAATTCCTGCCTCCCACCATTAACCCTGTTACATATGGTCACGATAGGAGAGGATGGATCACCATTAGAACAAATATTTACAATTATGCTGACCTAAGGTCAAGAGTCTTATCTGAATCTTATTTACAGAATGGCAACCATCAAAGACTGCAAACGACAGACAGTCCCTGCCTATCAACTTGTACCACAGCAACCAACCTCTCGTCTTTGGGCGATTTTCAATCCAACTCCACCATAAACTTCCAGAGGAAACTGAACAAAGAGGACAACATCAGAATGGCCATACCAGAAATCGAGCCTCTGCAAAAGAAGACCGAGGTCGAAATAGAGGATGAGCCCAGTGAAGCGGTTTCCTTCAAGAAAATCTTCAAGCAGGTATGCTTCTATTATAGTTCAATAGTAATCGTTAAATCGTAATCTTCTCAAAGTAACAATCTGACCAAAAGATGAAACTAACTTTTCAAGCTGTTTTTCAATTTCAATTCACAATGGCAGACGAAATGTCAGTATGTTATGTTTTTCATAACCTTTAGTCTCGCTCACTAACCAGATTGATGGAGAAGGGTCAGAGAGACAATTCCTGGATATGTTTCAGTCTGGGTATTCATATTCTGTATACACTGCACGGTGGCCAATATACAGTGCTTTTCAACGCAAGAAATTTGTAAAAACTTTAAAACTGTCGAAATGTGCACGATTTTTCAAAACTTATAAATTTTCAATACCAAAAAATTTTCAAAAACTTGTGAAGACAGCTGTTACAGCCTACTGTGAAATGTAAATGCTAAACAAGTGTTTCTCAAAATAGACAAAATACAAATATAATATTAGCTTTATACAGGGTGTAAACGTGATGAAAAAAAAACTTTGCGTCGGTCTTTCATCGCTCTTATCGAACCGGCAATTGATCGCAAACGGTAACAGTGGCTAGTTATCCTTTTGCATAGTTTTGCGGCGTTATCAGGTTTCTTTTACTTTAAAATTGCTTTTCTCTAAAAAAATGCCATTTTAACCCCCATGTTATATGAAACTTTTTGCTTCTTTTGACCGGTCACAGTATAATCCCCCTTGCTTGCCTGACCAATGAAACCACATACATCTTCTTCAATACGGTGACAATATTTGATTTATCTGTCTTCCATGTGACAGTTTGTTATTTTCTTTTCTTTATCAGATTCCTATACAGTGTGTTACAAAAATAGCATGAAACTCCCGTGATATGCTGAGATTACGAGAAGTCATCATTCATAATTTTAAGATGGCACTACGCAAAACCAGCATAACCCAGGACCGCCTGGGCTACGCATTCCGGTTGCCAAAAAAATGTCGTTTTTTCAATGCATCAGATACGTCACTCTCGTCCATCGTCCCGAAAATACCAAAACTGTTGACGCTACGCACCGGTTAATGGCTATGCAATATTCGACCAAAATGTTGTACCTAATTGCATTGTTTTGAATCTGAAACGCGAGTAATACTATTCAATATGCAAAGGGCACGATGTTGTTGGTCATGTTAGAAAATAATTTAAGACAAAAAAGTTTGGCCTTGAGATGGCGAAGCGGAACATCTGCGCGTTTGATACCCAACAAACCACGAGAAAAACCTAGATAAAAAACAAATAGCTAATTAGGCAGGTTGGAGAATATGAATTAGATCTTCCTTTGAAAAATATTCAACCAAATTGGTTCAAAATCCACAGAAGAACTAGAAAGAAAATTGTTGTAAAATTTTATATAAGCTGATTCCTTTAGCTTCCTTTTGTAATGCTTATCCTCTTTATGTGGTATTGAGGCTTCCTCCCATTTTGCTGTAGGTTCCTGTTTATTTTTCACTGTAGGAATGTGCTAATGAGAAGAAAGAACAAACGAACTGTCACCTTGAAGGCATATCGAGTTTTCCAATAGGGACTTGACAACTTTGAACTTTCGCTGTGAACGCATTTTTCAATCTACTGCCGAACTGTCAATGTCAAAACATTCAGTAAAGAAAACATGTTCAACACCCCTAGATTTTTTTGTGGAGCTACATCAAATCATTGGTCTATGTCAAGAAGTCGGCGTCGTTAGAGGAGCTCAGAGCCAATATTGGACGCGAGATAGACGCCGTTTCCGTCGAAATGTGTGGCCGAGTCTTTGAAAATTGGGTTCAACAAATCCATCGCTGCGAACGTGCCCTTGGTGGACGTGTGAACGAGGTCGAATTCCATACATAAATGGTTCTTGCTCCAGAGATGTTTCTTTGGAATCAGACCTGAAGGACATTCTGTGGCTCTCAACTCCAACACATCACCCAAATTTATTTGCTGCCTTTATCGCTCTCCCTCGGACCATAACTGGGATGACCTTCTCGAATACCTCGCCGTCCAGATCGACTTCCTGAACATCAATCACCCCGCTTCAGAGGTAGTTCTTCTCGGTGATTTCAATGCCCATAATGAGCTTTGGTTGGGCTCAAACAAGACCGATGCAGCAGCTGGTGCAGTCGAAGCGTTCGCTCTTACTCAAGGGCTGACCCAGCTGGTGACGAGCCCTACTTTTTTCCCTCGCGTCTCGTCACACACCAAGAGCATGCTGGATCTCTTTCTGACCACGCATCCTGTCCCTTACAGCACTGCTGTCCTGTCCTCCAGGGGTAACTCAGACCACGGTGTTGTGGAGGTTAGGTTTCGGTCAGAACCCGCTGTGGCAGCAGAAACTCGTACAGGCCGCGGATGCGTCGGCTGCCTGTTCTTCGATTACCGAAATTATCCAGAACTGGACGATACGACCGCTCCTTTGTCCCGAGGGTGTCGAGATTGTGGAACAAGCCACAAGAGGAAGCTTTTCCCAGTTCTACTAACCTTAGGCAGTTCAAAAATCGTATTAACAAAATTTCTTTGGGATCATCATAGCAGCCGCGGCATTTAGACTTCTGCCTGCGCGGCTGCTTCGATATATATAAGAAAAGAGTAAACTTCAATCCAATGATAAAATTTTAAGGATATCTCAAATGGTTTGCGTTTTATTTAAAAAGAAAAGTCCTTAATGGAAAACCCTTTATGAATCAAATATTGCCATTGTACTGTAGAAGACCATTTGTTATTGTTACAATTCCAAAAAGAGATAATTCCTCAAACGGCACTCAATCCGCAAGGAACGTCCATAACTGTGGCCCCGTTGTGTCGGCATCTTGGATTGAGTGTTTCCTCCTATACTCTGTCCCACTGCTTCTGGTGCTCACTTGAAGACAGTGCTTTGTGCACGGCTATATGAAATGTCACACGCTGGTTCCTGTCCTATCTGGAAGAGATCAGCTCCTTACGTGGTACACTCATCAGGTCGCTCATTACCAGCTATTCCCATGTGGCTTGGAACGCAAGGTGCAAGGTTACGATTGCCATCAAATAATTCGTCGGAAATAGTCGGAAGGTGTTTTATTTTTAAATCCCGATGCACTAATACGAGATGCATAATAATATCGAAGAAGTTTCCTTCAACCTTCACCCAATTCGTGAGGTCGTCTGTTATTGAATGCAGTCAGCATGTTTTCGGGAGCACATTGGTATTCAGTTAACGTGTGAGAACTTTCCGTAACAGACTTTATTCTGTTAACAAATTGTTAAATGTTTCCGACTCATTAAAATCGCATTATAGGAATTAAAAAAAATGTCATTCAATAGAAAGCAGTGGAAATCTCTTAGATCATCATAACGTGGAAAATTATTTAGTGCAATGTACACATAGAAACTTCAATTGGGCAATTTTTGTTGGAAAATTTTTGGGGAAATCATCCGTACAAGTGTTCGTACATCAAACACGCGTCAAGAAGGTTGACAATATACAGGGTGTGAATCTATATTAAAAATTATTGTTAGTTTGCTTTATAAACTATGGTCCAAAAATGTTTCCTGTTGAAGTTTTAGGAAAAAATGGAAATTAATTAATATTTTCCGAACCGCTTCAGATATTTCACTGATATTTAGTACGTAGTGAAAGTTAATAAAGTTGCATATTTTCCAAGGCAAAAAGAATTTTTAGCTTTAACAGTGGCGTGCGTACGGATATTGACTTCGATATTTTTTCAGAAAAAAAAAATGGTACGCCAATGTTTTTTTCCAAATATACGCCATTTTTGAGTAAAAACATAAAAATCGTTCTTTTGTCCGATAAAATTAACATAATAATTGAAGAATGCAATTTAGCAATAAATATCTAGTTGTTCTGGAATATGTCACTGGCTTTTGACATCTGGCAAGTCTCTGTTATTCAGATCTGTCCGACATCTTTTTCATTATTTAGTTTTTACAATCTTGTTAATAATGGTGAATTATTCAAATGCAAAAATGGCGGAAATGCATTACGTATATGGCCTTGCCAACGGTAATGGTGAGCAAGCCAGACGGATTTATCACCAGAGATATCCCGATCGTGCTTTGCCAGATAGTCGAACCTTTTATAATATTCATCGTCGTCTTGTTGAAACTGGTTCTGTTCGAAAAGGAACATCTGAAGGTAGACCTCTAAGTGTAAGAACATCTGAAATTGAGGAAGTAGTGCTGCCCGAAGTCGAAGAACATCCTGAAAAGAGTACGAGGAAGATCTCTAGACACTTAAATATTTGTTATCAAATTGTTTGGAGAATTTTAGTGGATTTTTTGTTATATCTTTACCATATTTTAACAGTACAGACATTACTTCTCATTGATTTTCCAAGGCGTGTGCCCTTTTGTCAGTGGTATCTTCAAAAAGTTACACAAAATCCGCAATTTGAATCAATGATTCTGTTCACGGACGAAGCTAATTTTTCTCGAAATGCCATTCAAAATTTCCACAATAAACAATTGTGGGCAGAAGAAAATCCCTATGCCGTAACCGAAACCCATTTCCAACACCAATTTTCGGTTAACGTATGGGCAGGAATTATTGGCAACCACTTTATTGGCCCATTCTTCTTGCCGGGACGACTTGAAGGACAGACTGTCCTCAATTTTCTTCAACAACAGTTGCCTTTGCTGCTTGATGATGTTCCGTTAGTAATAAGAAACAATATGTGGTACATGCATGATGGTGCACCAGTGCATTTCAGTGTAACGATTCATAAATATTTACAAACTTGTTATCCAAATCGTTGGATTGGCCGCGGTGAGCCCCAAGAATGGCCACCAAGGTTTGTCTGTCGGTCCGCTAATCCTGACTGCTCGTCTGTCCCTATTGTATCGAGATTGTGAAACAATCTACATGAGGATTTTCCCAGTTCTACTAACCTTTGGTAGATCAAAAATCCTATTAACAAATTTTATTTAAGCTCCTCGTAGCACCCGCTGTGCCCTGGCATGTAGGCTTCTGCCTGCGCGGCTGCTTCGGTGGCTTCCTGAATTTCGCGAGGCCCTCGTATTTGATAAATCTCATCATCAAATCGTCGGGAGGCTCGATCAATTAAACAAATGAATTCCCTCCAAATGTGACGTCTGATCGTTTAAACGATTTGTGATAACTATATTAGTGTAAAGGACAATAACGGAGTTCATGCGAATGACGTGATGTCAGAGAGGGGTTAATAACAACTTATAAAATGAAAGACAAGATACCATATTGGTTAGTTTCGAAAAGCCGCACCACCTATCCTCATGTGCTATCGAAAATAATCCTTATATAAACCGGGATTGCTTATCAGAAAAAGACAAACTAACCGAACTATTCATTCTCATGTGCGTTCAACAACTGTTTTGAAAAAAATCGGGTTTAATTTTCGACAAGATGAAAGTTTTAGTACGAGCAGATACCCATGTGACATTTTCTCTACCTGCGAATGAACCCAAGCAAAAATGCACTTTTTCTCAGGTGCTTAAAAAGTGAGAAAAGTCGACGAGTGATAAGTAACATGTATTTGTTCTTTTCAGTTATTGGCTGCAGTGGCAGTGTCATGGGTGTCTATGATCATAGGATATTCCTCGGCCTATACGTCACCAGCAGAGCATTCCTTGGAAAATGACTTCGGTCTCGATAAAGTTAAGGTAAGATTCACAATATTCTTTATAATTATTTCATATAATTTTTTCCATGTTCAATGATAAAATACAAAATATGAATCATCTTTATAAAATGTTGCATGGATATATGTAGTCTTGGACCCTTCGCAACATATTCCAATTTCAAATCTTAAACAGAAGGTTCCAACCTTACAGGGTGTTTTCAAAGTTAAGACATTAACTTTAACAGCGTCAATACATTATTCGAAATTTTAAAAAAAATCATCATCAAGTTAAATGGATACCGCTTTTACAAAAACTGTTCAAAATTGTCCCCATTTGTTCGATTAACGAAAATCGGCGAATCCACGACTCTTTACGAGCTTGGTGTCCACGAATTAAATCAAAAGCATGTTCAGTGCGCTGTTGAAGTTCTTACTGCTCTATCATGATATACCAACTCTTTCAATTAGCCTCACAGAAAAAAATCGCAAGGTGTTAAATCCGGGGAGCGAGCAGTCCAAGAAATGCGTCCATTCGGAAAGTTATTATTCATTCTCGTCTAAAATGTGGTGGAGCCCAATCATGTAGGAACCACATACTATGTCTCACATTTAGAGAAATGTAGATGTGGCCTCGTCTGTACAAAGAATTAAATTCATAAAATCTTCATATCTGCCGAACTGTTCTAAAAGCCATTAGCAAAATGCAACTCTTCTAGGATGATCTTCAGGTTGTAAAGCTTGTTACTCGTTGATAATGATAAGAATACTTACAACTAATCGAACCAAAGACGCGTACTGAAAACCATACAATAACACAAAAAGGTTGCAAATTTAGATAAACGATAAGAATAGTAAACAAAGAAAGCTAAGATTATAGAATATCAAAAAATCTATGTAATATTCTTATTTGAAAAAATTTGTAATCTTTTACTATTTCTTTTATTATGCACTTTTTATATAGGTGATTTCTGGTATAGCAACTCCTTCTGACGAGTCCTACAAGCAGTTAAAATAAATGACTCAACTTTGAAAACGTGTGAAAATGTGTTATTTTATTCGGCCAGACTATAGAGTCCTACAATATTTGTATAACTGGTTGTTCATCAGTAATGTGAGGTACAGAGTAGACACTCTCAAAAAACTTAGCGAAAGCATTACTGGTATTTTTAGGATCATTGAACGTTTCATTTCCATCAGAAATTTGTCCAGGAATCCTAGAAGTATGATCTTGAGACGCAATTTTGGACATTTAGTTTTCTGTGACCATTCATCATCCTATGAAATGAATACCCAGTTTGAATGGTCAATTTTCAAAAGTTTAATTACGATGGTTTAGGATTCACCACAGCACAGCTTTGTAAACGTACTTTCCGCCTTATTCAAAGGTCCAAAGTTGTATATACTGACGACTTTGCACCAGCTAACATATGACTGACGGGGCATAAGTTTTGAAAAAAATGTTTGTTCTGGAATTTCTACTGATTCAGTCACCATGAAGCAGGTAAACTCATAGTGGATTGTTGTCATTAATGAAGTCAAATTGTTTTAATAATTCATTTCAAAAGTCGTATAAACTTGAAATTCGAAAAAAAATCTGCAGCTTAGTTGGAAGGTTGCCCAAAACTCAAACTGTGAATAGTTTTGAGATCAAAACGTTTGCCCATTCATAGGGCAATATGAGACCGTGAAGAAGGTAGACATTGCATTAATTTCAGGGAACTAGCGCACCTCATGCTTTGTCACAAAATACAGTTGTATATAGTGCTCAACATAAAATTGAAATATCAAGTTGAAAGCTGGGTCGTCGTTCAGAGATCTGTGTCCAGACGTGCATTTTTCAAAAAGAAGAAATGTTGTTAGGCCCCGAGGCGTAGGCATTTTATGAGAAACCGCGTGATTATAATGAATGATGAAAGGTATATATTCAGAAAAAAAAGGCAATGGTGGATTCTACACCTTCAATATTGAAAATTGTTCAAATGAAGTAAAATTTAACGCAAGGGAGAAATTTCTAGTCTGGTATGCGAATCCTGAGGCTGGAGTTCCAGCACCCGATGATGGTCGAGTTCGAGAAGCTGTGGATGCCGAGATTCATACCCAAATATGATCGCTAAAACTGCTTAACTTTATTAACACCTATCATCAGAACAACGATATGATATTTTGACCTGAATAACGTTAATTATGTAGATCCTCGCCTCACCAGATCTTTCAGCTCAATTTTGGCCGTTACTGTGTCAAAAAGTTTATGGCGACGCCTAAAATGAACAACAATTGCGAGAAGAAATCGTGTAGTGAATATCGTCCAACAAAATATAAGACAAGTCTTAACCGATGCTTGCTAATGAGTATCATGATCCGCTATCAATTTTGTAGTTTCGATTTCATATTATAAAAAGCTACCATTGGTATTAAGATAATAATATTAAAGAACAGTCCTTTATTTGGGGGAAAAGTGCCCTAAATTCCGTTATTTCATTGATCATTTTATACGTTTACGTAATACCCCAAGAAAAGCTTTGGACCTATATTATCCGTATATCGCCCGAAATTGCTATTCATTAAAAAACAATTCGCTGTAAAGAACTATCAATCCGTAGCGATATCGATTTATAAAATCTTGACCCTGCCAGGCAATATTCATTAACTCATTCATACCAAGATCAACGCTTGATGCTTCTGGTTAAAACAGGTCATATCTCCCGTAGTGAAATTGGTATAAGAATAGGCTGGACCATATCCAAATAAAATACATACCTTCGAAGTATAATATTTTTTTACATAACACATATTAAATATAGTCCTTTTTGGAGCTATACCAACTGATTGACATTATTATGTCAAGTTCATTTTACTCGCTAAAAATAATTTCAGATTCTTGAATGTTCTTAATGGCTCGAGAAGAATCTCGAAAGAAGGTTATTTTCAAACATTTTGGCAGGAAAAAAGCTTTTAATTTTTCAAGTATCGGAAACCTAAAATGCAATATTTGTTCGCTACTAGCTGACCCGACACACGTTGTCCTGTCTTGGCTATGAACTGGGATGAATAATAAAATGGTAAATATACGGTATATAGGTAATTGTATAGCGAAGTGTTTGTACCGCCATGTGGCTAGCAAAATGCGTTCGCAGCATTGTGTAATTACGTCATTTGAAAGCAATTGTTGTGTTGCTGGATATGAGTCAAAAAATGAATAGACCTTTCTGGAAACCAATGAATGTAGTGGCTCTGGTGGTGGTACCAATGGAGTCAGTTTGATCTTTCCACTGACGCAACATATTCCAGGGGCTTCATTTTTAAACTTGAAAACCTTGCAATGTGGACCCACAACGTTCATTGGTCCAATAGCAACGACTTGTTGTGAACATATACTTCTCAAAAAACTATACCGAACAAACTGAAACTGGATAAAAGCTCTAATCGAATGGACTGTGCACTACTAATTAAATGAAACAATATTTTTTCATCGATAAACACTGTTAAACGATAATATAAATTTGCGGCGTGCAAGCTGTCAAGTTCAAAATGATAGTGTAGTGAAAGTCAATTAAGCAAAAGAAACGTATTTTCATCCGCGATGTTTATTCATAGAGTTAACGGACAAAGATAACAATTAGGCAACACTGCAGTTTCTTTTGAAGGGGCCATCACAAAGTACGGAAGGTAAAGAAATAAGCCCAAAAACGAAAGCGCCGTGTTTTCATAAGCAATTTTCTCTCACATTGCTAACTATCAATAGCTGTTGAGATAAAGATGGCGGAGAGGAGTGCCTGTCTGTTTTGGTACGTGAGATATTTTCTTCTGCTGTGCGTGCTATATGCCCAAGAAAACTGTGAAACGCGCGTAGCTCAAATGTGATATGATTTATCGATTTTCTGCACAGTTTTCTTGATTTTTCTTTCCGTAAGAACCTTCTATACAGCATTAGGAAACTTAAAAAAAAAGATGAATGACATCTGTATATTCGTTTTCAGGATATGGCGTGACCACGCGAAATAGGGATTCATTTATATATATATATATATAGATATATTTTTCTGTTGATGTTTAAATAAAATAAAGTACCATTTCCAATTCAAAATATTTGTGAATATCCACGTCAAAAAATAATATTTACTTAACATAATCACCCCTAAGATGACGCATATTTGCCGAAAATAGTGATTCATAAGCATTCAAAACGTTTTCGCTTCTTTTGATGCCGAACGCGTCATTCAGAAATATTTGGCACTGATCTTGATATTCCAGATTATTCAATAACTTTTCACCAATGACCTCACAGATAAACTCCGCGTTTGTAAATATGGTGGTAAAATGTGGAGTTGGCAGCTAATCCATCGTTTTCGTATTATACAGGGTGGGCCATTAAGTTGAGCGGATTTTAAAGAATCATAGAAGAAATACTACGAAAAGTAGGGAAGATAATTTATATTTTTAATAAAGAAGACACATGTGATTTTTTTTTAAATAACATCATTGAGATGTAAGCCATCGCCCAAACTGTAACATAACGCGAATGCAAAGGTTGGTGTTTTAATTTGGGATTTTCTGCGGCCCAATACCGGTAATTTTGCTTATTGACAAATCCACTTAAATGAAAATGAGCTTCTTCAGAAAATAGTGTTGTTCAGACTTGGAAAGCGCGCTAATATTGTTTCTTCAAACGCATGGCGTAGACGGTGGTCCTGCGGTGTAGTCCGTAACAGTTTGTCCGGCTTTTTCCATTATTAATAATAAACTGTGAAGGTTATTCGAAATTTCAACTTTTCAGAACTCACATACAACATTAAGCCCAAAAAAGTAGTTTGAAACCAGTTTATTTCTCAGTGACCCAATAAGGTCTCCTAACAAATTCAAATTATGAGGCGGTTTTTGAATTAACCGATTTAGTTATTTGAACGACTCCGTTTTCCTGCATGATCCTAAAACCAATTTTTCTTTTGTTGCAGATGTCGTGGATATCAAGCTTCATGCCTCTCGGAGCACTTTGTGGAGGCTTATTCGGAGGAACTCTAATCGAGCATATGGGAAGAAAATGGACGATACTTCTAACTAACGTAATGTTCCTAGTGGCTTGGCTGACCATATTCATGGCACAAAACTACGTTTACCTGTACATCGGCCGTATTATCACGGGTGTCAGCGTTGGGATAACCTCGCTCACTTTGCCAGTGTACTTAGCTGAAACCCTTCAGCCTGAGGTGAGGGGAAGCCTGGGACTCCTGCCGACAGCCCTTGGCAACGTGGGCATTCTGTTGTGCTATTTATTTGGTGCATTCTATGAATGGAAGATGCTGGCTCTTATTGGAGCTATACTGGCTGTGCCCTTCTTGGTACTGATCTGGTTCATACCAGAAACCCCAAGGTTCCTAGTATACAGAGGTAACGAAGAGGAGTCTAGGAAGGCTCTGCAATGGCTGAGAGGTGCAGACACAGACATCGAAAAGGAGTTCCATGAACTGAAGAAGAACCAGCAAGATGCTGACGACTCAAATGAAAGCGTGATGGAGTTGTTCAACCGCAACAACATAAAACTTCTTGCGATAGTCTTAGGTTTGATGTTTTTCCAACAATTCAGCGGAATAAACGCTGTAATTTTCTACACAACTAGGATATTTAAAGAATCTGGCTCTTCGTTAAACGAAAATATTTGTACAACAATCGTCGGCACTGTGAATTTCATATCAACATTCATTGCAGCTGTTTTGATAGATAGATTTGGTAGAAAAGTGCTTTTATATATATCTAGCGTGTCAATGTTGTTGTCTTTAACTACATTAGGTACTTATTTCTATTTGAAGATTGAAACAGACATCGACACACTCCAGTTTGGATGGTTGCCTCTTGTAAGTTTCATGGTATACGTACTCGGTTTTTCCCTCGGTTTTGGACCAATCCCATGGTTGATGATGGGTGAGATTCTCCCTGCAAGGATCCGAGGACCAGCAGCTTCTATTTCCACATCTTTCAACTGGTCGTCTACGTTCATTATCACCAAAACCTTTTTATTGATAATAGAAGCTATTGGCCTTTACTACACTTTTTGGATGTTCGCTGTGATCGTACTAGGATCGTTGATTTTCTCTATTTTCTGTGTACCAGAAACCAGAGGTAAAAGCTTGGCAGATATTGAGAGGCAACTAACCGGAGGCACCAGAAAAGTTAGCTCAGTGGCAAACCTCAAACCAACGCCATCTACTTGTTAAACAAGAGACTGATTTTATTCTAAGAATCTCTAGGCTGTATCTTAACTTTGAATAAGTACCAAGAGCAAAAAACCGATAAAAGACTTTACAGCAGGTGACGTATTTGTATATCTTTTTGACAAGTTGAGTTTGTGACTGGACTAACTTTTTCAAGGTTCAGATGTTTTAGCAATAAGGTAACTTTATTGAATTGTTCTAAATATTTTGTATTTATGTATATAGTCTTATTCCTAGGTAACGTTATTTATTATGATATTTTTATATGAACAGAGCGTTGAAAATAAAAATATATCTATTTTTTATAAACTGCTCAGGACTTTTATTCCACGTCCCTCCGTAGTGATTCACGTAACTGTAGGGCTGTTCAAATATGGATGAAGAAAGAACTGAAGTCCAAATATGAGGTATGCTGGTACGAGGTATAATTGCCTTGATAAAGGGTCTGGTAGGGACTTCAAAGTTCAAATTTGACGCCATTTTCAAAGCGCTTGGGCATTTTATACTACGCATATGTCAGTACTGTACCTTGTCGAACAAGAATCTCCCAAGCGCTCATCCAGTTTCGATGGATGGTCGAGTTCTACCAAAGAGCCGTTTATTTCGAAGATAAAATTTGTTTCACGAACATCTGCGGGATTAACAGCAACATTCATGCTGTTCATCACTACTTGCAATCCAATCGCCACGCCATGCTTTTCTTGGCGGAGACAAAAATCACAGAGTCTGCACCGATTAACCATCTTAGCTTCCCAAATTACGAGGTGCACTCCAGTCTGAGAAAGAAAGGGGGAGTTGTGGCTTTTGTCCGCAGCTGTCTTTCCTGCTCCAGAGATGTTTCTTTGGAACCAGACCGGAAGGACATTTGGTGGCTTCGCCTCAATTCCAAAACATCCCCCAAATTTATTTGCTGCCTTTATCGCTCTCCATAACTGGGATGGCCTACTTAAATGAACGTCAATCACCCCGCTCATCCCTCATATAGTGAAAGTACCTAAGCCAGGGTCCAACGGCTGGTTTAACAAATCGTGTGACACTGCTCGCCAGCAGAAGATCAAGGCACACAGATTCTTACACAACCCCAATGAGAGGACAGACAAGGCGACGTCGAGTCCAGAAACATATACAAAGAAGCGGTTCCCAATGCCAAAAACCAGCACTATATAAAAGTTAGGCAAAGGGTAATGTCGCAGCACAATGGCAGTCGGTCTTTCTGGACGCTGGCCAAGCAGATTGAAAAGAACTTCTCGCACAGTAGCCTTCCACCATTTACGTGTCAGGATGGAACGATTGTATCCGACTCAAAGGCCAAGGCGAAAGTGCTTGTCAAGATGTTTGCTACCAACTCCACCACGAACGTCCCCCCCAACACCCAAGTCCCTACACTATACTTGAGGTATCCACAGGGGACCTTCTAGCTTACGTCACGCAACTGTGGAGTAAACTCATTCAGTCTTATGGTGAGGCCCTCGTTGCTCTTGACATCACGAAAGCGTTCGATAAGCTGTGGCACGCTGCCCTCTTAAGCAAACTTCCATCCTATGGCCTACCAGAAAAGCTTTGTAGATGGGTGGCTGACTTTATCTCTGGCCGCAAGATATCCGCCGTAATTGACGGGTTTTCCTCTTCCTCTCACAACGTCAACGCGGGTGTTCCCCAGGGATCAGCCTTGGCTCCGACACTGTTTCTCTTACATATCAACGACCTCCTTTCCTGCACGATCAACCTAATCTACAGCTTAGCTGATGACAGCACTCTACAAGCAGAAATTCAGTCACAAGCCGATCTCTGCCGCTGAGCTGGAAAAAAGAAAGCTAGCAACGACAGCCTCTCTGACAAGAGACCTGGAGGCTATCACTGCATGGGACGCAACAATCTTGTACAGTTCAATGCTTCCAAAACACAGTACTGTACTTTGACGAACAAAAAGCGTCCTAGCGCTCATCCGGTTTCGATGGATGGCCGAGTTTTGCCAAAGGGAAATTCATTTCGGCTGGTCGGAGTCCAGATCACCGAGGACCTGATCTGGCACGAACACATCTCTTCAATAGCTGCAGCTGCTGGGAAAAAGCTAGGCTATTTGTTTAGGGCTAAGAAGTACTTTTCTCCCATGGCCTTCTCACTCTATACAAGGCCCAGATAAGGCCTAGCCTCGAGTATTGCTCACACGTTTGGGGTGCTGCTGCCCCGACTACATTATTTATGCTCGATGCTGTCCAGAGTCGAGCTGTCCGACTGATCGATGACTTTTCTCTAACAGACAGTCTCGGGACCCTTTCACAGCGGCGGGCCGATCAACGGGGGACCTCCTAGTTTACGTCACATAAGTAAAATCATTCAGTTCCGTTGCTCTTGACATCACGAAAGCTTTCAATCAGCTGTGGCAAGCTGCCCTCTTATGCAGGCTTCCATTCTCTGGCCTCCCAGATAGGTGGCTGACTTCCTCTCCGACCGCAAAATATTCACAGCAATTGTCGGCTTCTCCTCTTCGTCCCTCAATATCAACGCGGGTGCTCCCCAAGGATCGATCTTTGCCCCAACATTGTTTCTATTACATATCAGCGACCTCCTCTCCTCTAGACGCAGGCATTCAGTTATGGCAAGCCGAACTCAACTGATGAGATGGAGAAAAAACTCTATAAAGAGTGACCTGGAAGTTATCACCGCTTGGGGACGCAACAATCTGGCAATTTGATCTGGTGTTCGATTTTATGGCGCCTAATTAGATTTCAATACACTATGTATGCGCCGATGCCTATAATTGCACAGTATTAACACGGGTAAATCCAGGTGCGCCGCAGGGGTCGGTTCTATGACTACCGTGATTTTGCCTCCACATTAAAGACCTGCTTTCCAACTTACTCTCTTATGCAGTACCTAGAGCACCCTACAGGCTATCACTGCCTGGGATGAGGGAATATTATGTGATTCAACTCTTCTAAGGCTAGATACTTCTTTTAACACGTTCAGTGCGAACAGCGTCAAAATACGCCCTCCGCTCCTGTGGTGGGAGGCGAACGGCGTCTTTCGACGCTCTCTGCCGGCTTCCAAAAAAAGTATTTCAGTTTCTGAGGTGGGTATCCTCATCCCAGTTCGCAGTCAATGTGTTAAATTTCGAGAAATGTTCGCATGCTGTTTGACTGGTTGCCTACACGGACGAGAATTTGACGAACACCACGCCTGTAGCATAGGCAACCAAGCTTATACTGTAAAACATTTTTTCATAAAAAAATTGAACCAAGATTTTTTGTGTAAATGCAGTAGTTTACATTATTCGTAAAACAAATCAATGGTGATTATTAAATGCATGATGCGTATTTCACACAGACGCAGAACAAATGTTTAGGATCTTAACCCCAACACCGTGGAACAAAAGTCAATGAACGCCAGATTCTGTGCATATTATTCTATGGTTTCCGTAAATGTGTGCATCCTTAGGATTAGAGAAAGATGGCAATACGTGCTTACATGGATACAGAAAAAGAGAGAAGTAGTGTGAGAACCTGGGAAAATCAAACAATAGGGCATTAGACACTTGTGCATAGTGCATGATCAATTCTACAGAAACGGTCATATCTATGATCTGTTCTTTACTTTTTGTATCAGTTCTGTCAACACTGCAGTCTTAAGTGAGACGAGCAGCTAAAACTTGGCAAAAATGGTAGTAAAATGGAATTTAGAAACTTTGAAAAGCTGGTGAATGTTTGATTGATGATTGTTCAACCGTTTAAAGGTCTGATGAAATGGGATTTTGCACGAGAAGGTACTTTTTTCTATCAATATGTCTTCTACAAATGGTAAGTATCATTTATTTATATTTTTGTTAATATTAGGTAAACTATTTAATGTATTTCTAATGAGGTTAATGACTGAATAAACATTTTTAGGTATCAGTAGTGGAAAGGCAAATATTTGATTTCCTTGGTTACCTATGGATTCCAATTCTCATAAATTTCTTTGAGATAATATTTATTATTTTTGGTTTCTTTGGAGCATATCAATATCGACCAAAATACATTATTGCGGTAAGTGCTAAATTTAGATATACTTTTAATATCATTGATGTAAACAAACATTATGATAGTAGGTATCATGTCCCTGGAAAGGTAGATTTTCTACATGTTGAAGACTTTATGAAAGTTGCTGTAGTTGACCAAACAGTCTTTAGTTCACCAAACAGTCTTTAGTTCATATTTTTTCTCAACCATGGTCTTTGCTAACCATATGGCATTGATAGTAGGTTTGCCCAGTCATAGCATTCCTTTAAGAATATTCTTAGGGTAACCTTAAGAATATGATATGGAAATCAATCAAAACATAATGGAAAATTTGTTTCAGTACCTGTTATGGCATATATTTTGGTTGGGATGGAACATATTTTTGATATGTCTATATTTAAATGTCGCAGGACTAGACCACGAGGTATGTTATATATCTATTTATTATGAGTTGCATTTTTTGTGTAATCCTCACATCATATACAAGCAGATACAAAGGCAAGGCCTAAACACCAACATACTGTCATTGTTCAATGACAGAGTTAAGATAGATCATATACCCTATTTCACGAGTATCCATCATGGTAGAACAACAGCTGATTATCTAGTAATATTTCAAAATTCCCCATATCGGCACAGGACTCATAGTTCTGACAGATCTGTCAAAGCCAGGTAGTTAGTTCCATATTTTGTGTTGTGCTAACAGCTCTTTTATTTAGAAAAGTTCATTTGCATACAAAAAACAAAACCTCACAAACAAGTTTTACTAGATTTATACTCAATTCATTATTGCCAATGTTGCTGACTATCACAAAAATGTCACTTGCTGATCAGCAGTTCACCTCAGTAGATGTCAAAGCATGATGGATACACTGGAAATAGGGTATAATATAGGGTGACTATATGTACATTTTTTAGTAGGACAGTACTTTCTTTTCGAACTATGTACTACTGTCCTTTAAAAGTTTGTCAAGTACACCTAAATGTACTTTTTTTTTAATAAAAAAAAATTATCCTACTTTTTTTGTTCTGACAAATCTCAGTTGAAGATATCTACTGTGGAAGCCACTATGCTAGTCTACGCAAACTTTAATGATACTTGCATTGAAATGTTTCATTTTCTAAAGGATAAACCACAACTTTTAAAGGCAAGCTAGCATCAAAGAAACATTATTTTTAAATATATACATATTTTTTTTTACATATTTTGTTATATTGCTGCTGCATCTGTATTATAATAAAACAAATACCTATATTTTGTTTGATTAAAGATGTGTTAGATTTAGGCAAAAATGGCTCTGAGTATAAGTGGTGATTTTCCTTGAAAGTGTACTTTTTTTTGTTTAATAATTATGGTCACCCTAGGTATACATATATCCACAATAAGATTGGGAAACAGAAAATTAAAGGCTTATGGTATACCTTCTTTTTTTTAGAAGAACAAAGTGCTCAAATTAGACCTAAATAGTGACAGCTGGTGGAAGAAGGAAGGACCAGGATGTAAAGTGAAAGATATTGATGCCATTCCAGTAGAATATGAAGGATGTTTAATAGACTACGTACATGTTGAAATTGTACAAGCTGTAATCCAATCATTTTTTGCTGTAAGTTATAAATCATATTCTACAAATTTGCACAAAGTAGAAAAGCCAACCAAAAACTTGTTGAAAAAAATTTAGCATATTTAATGAAGTAATTCTTAAATAACCTATTTGAGTTAAATTATTCAAAGTATGTTTGTACCAAAATGCAAAATGAAACTTTGTGTAAATACTGAGAGCTCAGAATAATAGGCCTTTTGTAAAAGGTTGAAACTGGTGCGATTTACCAAACTGATTTGCCAAGTTATACTACTCAATTTATAAATTGTACTCTACCAAAAAGCATGCATTAGATTTTTATTGTTAGTGGAACAGATGTGAAAAACCAGGGATACAGATTAATTAAATCAGCTTAAACATAAACATCATAAATCAGGAATTTAGCTGAAATTTGTCTCTTTACCTTAACAATAACCTATCCATATAAATTGAAAAGTTTCAGTTATCGAATTCAAACATGAGAATACGTACATTTCTTTAATTTAGGCACAAAAATCACAAATAGTTGACTATGGAGTGAAGAACAGCTTTTGTCCATTAGTTGCACCTGACCATTGTCTGGTACAAACTGACAAACCAAATACAAATTGTGGAACCAGTATATTTGATATAAATTGTTTTATTTCATTTTTTGGGTTAAATTTTACCTGCCTAAAATCTTGTCAGATAACCAATAATAATTAAAACTGCCTAGAAGCAACAATTTGGATACAAAGGCTTGTCTACGATTGTATAACATACTGAGTGACAAAAAAATGTAAACATCTACGTATGTTTATGAGAATTCAAGAATATTTTACATGTAGGTTTATCTTGCCATGAGCAACAAGTGATAAAATGGTCAGGTTTTCTGTTAAGTTTTTGTGGTGACTGCATGTATTGTTTGGTGATAAAGACGCATTCAGTTTGCGTACATTTACGGTGTCAGTTAAATGTTAAACTTAGTGTAGCTCATTAAGAAGCCTTTTTGTGATTGCTCCAAATGCCTAGAGTGCCTAGGGTGTCCCTGCTAAGGGACTGAGAGGGGTCGAATTGTCGGGTCGCGTGAAGCCGATCTATCGATAAGAGAAGTTTCTAGGAGGTCCAACAGATCATTATGCAGTATATTGCAGTGTGTGAACGAGCGTGGACCCAGGAAGGCCGAAGATAGCAAGCGAGGGGTTCTGGACTTCCCAGAGGGACCGCAGAGCGACAATACCGCCGGTTAGGACTTCTGGCTCTGAGAGACAGATTTAGTAGAACTCGAGCCATCGCTAATCAGTGGTTTGAAGAGCATGGGAGGATGGCTGGTATGCGTACGGTATATCGCCGAATACGACAGTTTGGCCTTTTTCTTATCGGCCACATTGGGTGCTACCTCTCACAACTGAACAACGACATAACCGTTTGCTCTGGTGTAGAGAAAGAATTATATGGGACCAGGAATGGAATCAGGTGGTCCTTAGTGGCGAATCCCGCTTCTGTCTGCGGATGCACGATGATCAGGCAAGAGTGAGAAAGCGACGTGGTGAAAGACGTGGCCCACAATTTGACAGAGAGCGTCACGTTCACCACACCGTGGGAGTTATGATATGGGGTGCTATTGCTCATGGTAGCAGATCACCTCTAATTTTCATCAGAGGCAATATAACGGCCCGACGCTATATTCAGGAAGTAGTGGAGCCTCATCTTATGCCATACCTAAACACCATTCAAAACCCGATTGTTCATCAAGACAATGCCAGACCGCATGTTGCCAGAGCATCGTTAGCCTTCATGGATCAACATCGCATCAACCTTTTACCTTGGCCACCACGATCGCCTGACCTATCTCCAATTGAACATGTCTGGGACATGATAGGTCGCAGGCCCTTGAATTTGCAACACCCTCCCCAGGCTTGAGCAGCTCTTACTCACGAAGTTGCAGTAGACTGGAATGAGATACCCCAACAGGATATTGACCACCTTATCAGCACGATGCCCAGGCGTGTCAATGAGTGTATAAAAAATCGTGGCCCCTCAACACATTATTGAACCAGCTTCTGCAGTCAAGCTGAACATTTAATCATGTTACCAGTGAGGGACACAACATATATGTCAAAAATTATTAAAATCGGATGAATATACGTAGGTGTTTACCTTTTTTGTCACTCAGTATAATTACTGGGTTTCTCTAATATTTGGTCACATAATATGTTTTGACGCCAAGGGGCATCAAACATGCTAACTAGATGGTGAAACATTCTTTTTTTTTTACTTTTCAGCTCCTGAATACTATAATGGGCATCTGGCTGAGTAGGATATTTCTAGAGGAAGATGATACTTGTAAGTAATCAAACACAAATTTTTCCTACTGTAGACATACCACTAACCTTCACATAGAACTAGATTGGTCATAAAAAATGAAATAATCATTCACTTGGTGTTATCAAGCTTTTTATAATCATTCAAGTTCTATATCAGAAAATATGCTTGCAGTTGATTTCATTGGTGGATTTGATCCTCACACCATTTGGTAAGTCACGGTAGGACGGGAATGCACTCCATATCTAATTGTTTAACTTCAAGAATACAATCTAGATTGAAAAAGCCAGCGGGAATCTCAAAATTTTTCTCGCATTTGGACGTAAGACTTGACGTACTCCCACTTTACCAAATCCTATACACGCTTGAAGAAAGCGCCGAGCCAGTGTGGCCATTTAAACGTAGCATACCGTATGTAAAGTGGGTGGACCATAGAAGGGCATGCTCCTTATAAGGCCGATTATTAAAGAAGTCGTAGTTATTGCCTTGTGATGATAAATTCCTTCTACTCACATTGACATCCATCAAACTCAAGGACGCAGACGCAGTGGCGAATCGCTCGTGTTTTGTCAATTCCTCCTCGTCTTCTTGTTATCGGTCGTCAATGTTAAAATTAGAATCCTAGCTCACAACGAAACAAAAGTTTCCAAGTAGATAAACTATTATTAACTTAATTTTTTTGATTTTGATCAGTTTAAATTGCTCTTAATCACAATTATAAAGGTAATTGACAACTTAATTGATATCGCTATAAATCTCATTAAAGTAATTTTAAGTCGTTTTTCGTGAGAGTGTCATCGTTTCATTCTTGATGTCAAACTACCTCATTGGTAAAAAGTCGAGTTGTTTTTTTTTCTGGCTGTAACACTTCTAATGGCACTGAGTATATTTTACAAACAGAACAAAATGAAAGCGTATCTGTAGTATAATCATCACTTAGCAAATGCAGGTCAAACCTGACTTTAGTCGATTATATGAACAAACAACAAGTAATGTCACGCGTGATGAAAAAATTAACAATTCAAGCTATATTGTAGTCATGTTTTTGCGACTACTTGTTTGCCACGGTCGCCAGTCCGATGATGAATCAGGCCACTTTTATGTATAGTCCTCGTAGTAGCATACCGTATGCTTTATCCAACAGCGTATTTGTTCAATTTTCTGGCATATATATTCTTGAAGTTCAACAGCATTGTTGATAATCCTCATATTTCATGGTGTAGAGCGCTAATTGCATATTCTATGGCTGCTATATAGTGCATGGTGCATAATTTACTTCTTATATTTTTGTAACCTTGATAGGTAGATGTAGAATTCTATTTTAAAGTATCGAGTATTACTTGAAAAATGCATCTTGGCCAATTAGGTTTTAATTAAGCGCATAACTTTTCTAAGCTTCTTCTTCCCTGGTAGATTCTGAATCCGCCACCAACTTGAAGCTGAGGCCCATTGTCTATCTCAAATTCGTCCTCACAATTCACGATTTTTTGACGATCACATTCAGATTAAACCTATATTAAGTTTTATTAGTTTGTAGTGACCATTGATTAGTGTACCTGAAGATAGTCGTCCATATACTATATTCTGGCGTTGGGTAATTGATCTGAAAGATATTAACGCCATCTATCAGCAGAATACAAAAACGAATTTAGAAATTTACATAAAAAAGTGTGGCTCTTCTACTATCTGATAGAGCTGGATCTTCAATCCCGTATTGGCGACTCTCTAGTGTCTGTTTTAATTGGGTGGATTACGTTTTTTTACACGGAAGCATCCTTGCAGGCAGAAGCCTAAGTGCCAGGCAACTACCGGCTATGAGGAGCTTGAAAAAACTTTGTTAATCCGATTTTTGATCTGCGTAAGGTTAATAGAACTGGGACAAGCTTGCTCATGTAGATTGTTCCACAATTTCGATAATCTAGGGACAAAGGAAAGGTCGTATCGGCCAGTTCTGGATGTACGAAGTTCGACAGTAGGATGAGAGGCCGGAGTCAGGCGTGTCTGTCTGGCAGGCACAGTCAACATACGGTACTGTGTTTTGGAAACATTAAACTGTACAAGGTTGTTGCGCCCCCAAGCAATGATAACCTCCAGGTCTCGTTTGAGAGGTTGTCGCCGCTAGTCTTCTTTTCTCCAGCTCACCGGCAAAGATCGGCTTGTCACTCTGAATTACTGCATCTAGAGTGCTTTCATCAGCAAAGTTGAGGATCAGATTGATCGTGCAGAAAAGAAGGTAATTGATATGCAAGACGAACAATGTCGGATCCAAGACTGTGACGTTGTGGGACGAAGAGAACCCGTCAGTTACGAGGAATATTTGGCAGCCAGAAAGAAAGTCAGCCACCCATCTGCAGAGCTTCTCTGGAAGGCCATAGGACGGAACTTTTTATAATAGGGCAGCATGCCACAGCTGCCACTTGCATATTGAAAAAACATAAACATTAAAAGCCATAATCAGTTCCAAGATACCACCTTGAAATAGGCATTAGATGGGCTTCAAAAAGAGATTAAAAATCCTAGCGCCATCTATGTGATAGTGGCTGAATAAAACCCTCTTACTTTTCACAAAGTACATTTCTATATTCATTTGTGTGTTCTACTACTGCTTCATAGATGATGTTGGTATCTTTCAGATCCCTTTTTGGGCCCTGGAATATGGTTGGCTATCTTGAGGTAGAATGCGTTAATTTTAATGGTAGTAACACCGAAAGAAAATGGAACATTTGCATGGCAAAGCCGTATGGTTCCTTAATGACGGATTTTGAGAGAATTTTTAAATAATCTGTGTGTATTTCGTACCAGGAAAAGGCTTGTTGTTTAGGTAAATCGGGGGTGTAGTTCCCAAATCCGATTTCAGATTGACTCGCAGGAGGTCCAAAGCTATTATATTATCTACCTTTTGTGTTTTTTGCCTTTAGCTCCGCCGAGATAACTTTTTGTGAAAGTGTACCTGCCCCCAAAACTTTTTGAAGAGCGGGGTAGCAAATTTTTCCAGGGGGAGACCCTGAAAATCCTCAAAATTGTACACAAAATCAATGGTGAATATGCAAATGTTAATGTCCAACTGGATTCCCAGGGGGGCACGACCTCGTATGTGAAAATTTCATCCAAATCGGATAAGTTCTCTCCAAATTATAGACGGGTCAAGGATTAGCGGACAAACAGACCGATAGACAGATCGACGGAAATGAGTGGCATAGTTTAACATTCAAAAAATATAATACATATCTCATTTTCGTTCTTTTTTGCGAAATAAAAAGGATCATCTCTCGCTAATATTTAAAACAAGAAACTGTTGAGGCTAGTTTGCCTAAGAAGTGTGTTGTACTCATACATATCGTTCCTACAAAAATACGGATCCCAAACAGAAAATAGTTTAAACGAGACTATTCCAATGTCTTGCGATGCAGTGACCATTCAAATTAATAATAAAAATCCGGTTGAACCATACTTTATTTTATTTATCGATGATATTTCGAGCACGCTCGCTGTACAGATGATCTGCATTTTCTGTTACTAAGATTGCAAAATGCAAGAATGAATATTGACCCGTCATTTAGTGAGTCATAAAAGAGTCGGAAAATGTGGGTTAAACAAAGAATTCTCTAATGAGGTTTTTACTATATTTTTAATAGTCACCGCATTGAAAATCATAGGAATATCGTTGCTCAAACTTCTTTTCAGAAACGTCTTAGGCCTGTTTTTGTCGAGACGGACTGTAAGGCACCGTTCTTGCAAACTAACTCCAATATTCTATTATTATAAATCATCTAAAATGTATCCTCTCTTTCATATAGCTGTACTGAAAGTTCGTGTTTTCAACTGTGACCCCTCATTTCCGACAGAAAACTTGGTTTCCGCACCTACAGGGTTTGTCCGGAAAGTAATAGGACTGAGTCGATTTAAAAAAAATTATTGAGCCAATCGTTACAATTCTTTAAAAACTCTCAAAATATGCTCCTTCTGCGTCGATGCAGCGCTCTAGCGTGATTTCCAAGCATTGAAGGCGTCACGGAAGGCATTCTCCGGAATAGCCTTGAGAGCCGCGGTGCATGCTGCTTGGATCCCCTCTGTCGTCTCAAAATGCTTGCCTTTCATCGGCCTTTTCAGGCGAGGAAACAAAAAAAAAGTCCGGGGGGGCACATCTGGGCTGTAGGGCGGCTGCGAAAGCGTTGGGATGCCGGCCTTGGTCAGGTGGCTGTTCACAAGAAAGGCGGAGTGAGCCGGGGCGTTGTCGTGGTGCAACTTCCAGTCGGCTGCGATGTCTTGTCGGACCCAGATTTTGGTAAATTTAACATCTGGGCAATTAAACGAATACTTAGTCGACGGTCTGAGTTCAAAACTTTGCGCACACCAGTCACATTATCGGTGTTTGTCGAAGTCGAAGGTCGTCCAGCACGGTCTTCATCAGCGACCTCTTCCCGGCCCTCCAAAAAGGCCTGGTGCCACTGAAATACACCACTTCTTGCTAAAGCAACACCTGGGTAAGCCTGCTTGATCATATCAAACGTCTCTGTCGCAGATTTACCGAGTTTCACACAGAATTTAATCGTGTACCTCTGCTCTAACGAACGCTGCATTTTCGGCTTGCACCACTCACAGAAACACGTCGTGCTCGGAGACAATTGACCAGCCGCTCATTCGTTAGCTAGGAACGCTCTCTACCGAATCCAGTCGGTGCGCGCACGCTCCGAAGTACAGTCATGGCGGAAGAAAATTAGTCCTATTACTTTCCGGACAAACCCTGTATGTCCCATAGACGCTTTTCACCACTATGACTTTAGCTAACAATTTGACAGGTATTCATTCAATTCCACCAAAAGGTATTTTTCCATTGGTTTTGTCGACGTCCTTTCATACACTTGTAAAAACGGTAGTTTAGTATTTTGAACCAGTTGGTACAGATTCCCTGCCGGTGTTGTTCTGAATTCCCTTAATAAGTTTATTCCACCATTTCTTGTCGAATGCCCGTTTCTTCCTGTCTCTTATATTCCTGCTCCTCAAATCTTCCATCTTCTTTGATCCTCTTTTCTTCTTGGTATTTGGAACTCTTCATGCTATATGCTTCACTATCCTCTATCCTTTCTGGCGGCATGTTTTCCAGGTGTAGTTTTTCGAACAGAAAGTAGTCACACGGTGCCATATCAGGAGAATATGGAGAGTGGTTGATGGTTAAAATATCATTTTATGTCAAAAAATCGGACACAAGCGACGATCGATGATAGCAAACGCCTCATAACACCAAGATAAAACGCAACAATAACCGTTTGTGAATAATTCCCTTCGAATCGTAGAGACAAATCAACATTGTCTTCACTTTGGACTTTTTCAAACGGCTTTTTTTTATTCAGCACTTTGACGCTTGGTTTCGGGATCGTATTGAAAACACCACGTTTCGTCACCAGTCACAATGTTGTACAGAAAGTTTTTGTCTTTTTTGGCCTGTTTGATGATGCCTCTCGATTGCTAAATTCGAAGTAATTTTTGTACATGCGTGAGCTTGTGCATGAACACACCTTTCTCAGGCCCAAAATCTTGGTGAAAATGCGATAGATTGAATCTTTATAGATATTTCTATGCATCTCAATGAAGATTTTGGATCATTTTTGATGAATTCACGCACTTTTTCGACGGTTTCTGGCGCAATGACAAATTTTGGCTGGCCAACATGTTCGTCGTCTTTCAGCGACTCACGACCCTCTTTGAACCGTTTAAACCACTTGTGGACCCGGTTACGGGATAAACAATAATCACCATGTACTTGCATCAACATCTGATGCGTTTCGGTAAATGTTAACCAAGTTTAACACAGAACTTAATATTGGTGTTGTGTTAAATGCCCATTTTTCTACCGATGCTAAAAATGTACTATCAGATTGAGAACGATAGCTCCGTGCGTAGTGATTCGATTGTCATGAAATTTTGAAAGGGCATCAATTAAAGATGTACCTGTTCAACGCTAGTCTCCGATAATAGGTGGCGCTACTTGTATCGAACATCTTCCAAAAGTTCTATTTACTTTGCGACAGAAATTGTATGTTTTTCATATTTGAAGGTTTCCTGTTAGAAAATTCCTAAGCCCCTACGCGTCTGTGATCTGAATGTACTCATCTCGTAGGTAAATCGGGTACTTAGATTTCCAATTCGATTGCAATTTGATAGTCAGTGACCGTCTACCACCTATGGATAATCACAGCACCCATAGCCAAGAGAAAAATCCTCTTGGGGCGGGATTCGAACCCTCGCAGCTCACGCCTGATATTGAACCCATAGCGTCTACCACTACACCACCACGTTGCCTTCATGAATTCTGCCCAACAAGGTCATACTAGTTTCTCCTATTTCAAAACAAAAATAGCATTCTACATCTAGCAACGTGAACTCAGCATTGGTGGAATGACTCTCCTATCGCTTATCTTTCTTTTCAGTTAATTTCGAGAAGCCGGATGGTCCTGATAATATCCTCTTACATCCAATGTATGTGAATCCAAACGATAACTTGCAATCTTCTAACAGATTCATCAACTTAGCACCTAACAAATACGTTTTATCTGATGGTGTTAATTCAAAATTGACTCATCTCCGTGTTGATGCTATAAGATACCCACAACGGAGCAATTCTTTCAATTCTATTAACAAGATTGCTAGCAAAGGGTCGATAAGACCAAAGTCTGTGTGTACAGATGATTACTATTGCTGACTTTTTTGCTGCTAGTTTAGATATTTTCTAGTCATTTATAGGTTGACGTTTGTTTATATATTGCCAGTCTTTTTTCTAATTAGGTGCTTTTAACGGTGACTTGCATAAGTGTACAGATATGTGTTGTCGATTTGACAAACCAGATATTACGTATATGTATATCTGGTAACCATGGTAAACATTTTTTATCCCACAAGCTTTCAAAGCAAACGCGAAATGCTCGGCATTGAAAAAGGGTTATGATTCCGTTGACTTCAGTATATGTTATCAAGTATCAAAATGGATGTGAGTTTTGTTGTGTTGATCGTACGCCACTGCCAGCGCAGCATGTCTTTGTATACGTTGCGCGGATCTCAGCATACTCAAAGGCACACCGCGTTCACAGTGACGTACGATAACTCTCAACCATTTTGATATTCGATTATAGTAGGAGCTGAGGTAATTAGAGATTGCTTATCTTCTATTCTTTAGATAGGACGTATCTACATTGACAGGTGGGATAACAGATTGTTAGAATTATAGCGGACTTTTGCAGGGTTATGGTCAAATCGACAATTTTTAATGAGTTCCTTACTTCTTATTCGCTCTAGATTTGCTTTTGCATGTATATAAATACTTAGCATGATTGTATTTTTACTTAACGAAAATTAAACTTTATATGTACTTTGGTTTTTTATTTAATTTTTGTTTGTGCTCGTTTTTGCGCTCAGATAAGCATCAGAAATGTCTTTGATAGTCAGAGGAAATCGAAATTTTATTTTCAACTACAATTGAAATTTTATGAATACGTATGAAATGACATTTATGGATTCCTAAACCTAATTCTGATTGATTCCTATATCGAAATTATAATAGCCAGTGGCGACGCGTGACTTTTCCTACACTGTTACCAAAACCAGATGTGAAAAATTTTATCAAAATAGTTTATTTTGAACCTCCCAAATATAAGTTTTTGCTTATTTTAGGTATTTTATTTAAATAATTTTTAAATTAAGGTAAACATTACTGGACTGAGCGTCTGGGGCGTCTTATGCTATGGCTAATCCAAGCCGTCTGAAAAAACAGTCGACGTTTCTAGATGTTCGGAAAATTTTTGATCTTTTTTGGCAATGAATGTTAACAATTCCCTGTAATTTCCTCTATTGTCAGAGCCATCCACTTCAAAATAAACGGTAATTCCTGTTTTGCCAAAAAACATACGGTATCTAGAAGTGTGCTGCCTAAAAGCTTGGTTAAGACATCTTTCCATTCTTGTTTTGCCAAACTGAATTAAATTGGCTACACATCTCACATGTAACGGAGAAATTTCATGCCTCCTCTTTAGAGCCCTAAAACTATTTAAATCGTTGACTCCGCTGCTGGTCCACCCATTTTTTTTCTGTATAAAACAGAAGACATCTCCAACAATAGAATCTGTTTTTTGCAACCACATAACCAAGAGTTTCCATATACCAACTTAATCTAAACTATCAAACTACGTTTTTATTCCTTTTTAAAATTATGTAAAATAGGTGTTGGTCTTCATTTTCAATGATCTCCTTTTTTTCTTAAATAATATACAAGGAGAATGACTTTTCAAGTAGTTGGTCGATTACGCAGCGACACTCATCCATGATTAATTTCACTCACACTACAGCCGATAACCAAAACGGCTACTAACGAGTGAGAAGTGAGTAACCAAATCAAAAAATGGTAACAAGCCCACATAATAGTCGCAGCGCCCCCCGCACTCGGGCGACCGCGATCAGACACGAGCCGGCTCCGACGGTACCCGACGGACTACCAAGTGTATCCGTAACTGAAAATGGTAACAACCGACAACCAAGTCGAGGCGAGTCAGCTTCATCGTGTTCGCAGATCCTAGACACTATAGGGCGCATTATTTTCGTGGGGCTAATTTGCTATTTACTGCATTACTATTGCACATCGCTGTTGGTAAACAAATAAATGAAATTATTTCACAGTACTTAGTCATAAAATATTTATTTTTAAGATTTTTAACTGTTACCAATGGAAACAATGGTTACATGGACGCTTCGCCACTGATAATAACGGATTATACAGCGTTTTCAAAGTTGAGTCATTTATTTTAATTGCTTGTAGGACTCGTCAAAAGGAGTTGATATACCAAAAACCACCTATATAAAAGTTGCATAATAAAAGAAATAGTTTTTTGGCGAGTTCTACAAGCTGTTAAAATAAATGACTCAACTTTGAAAACACCCTGTATGTATAAAGGCATGCTATCGCTAGTCTAAGTGAACTATTGAAGTGTGTGAAAAGCTGCTTGTCATTGTACCGCCTGCCACATTTGCAACCAATTCTATTTACCAAGTATACTCAGTGACAGAAAATAGAGCACTTGGTGAAAATTTTATTCGAATGAAATTTTGCATACAGTTAGACATAAGCAGAAGGAAGTCGTGAATTTGAAATGAAAATATTTACGGTATCGCTAGATTTCGCTAATAATGTATTGGTCAACCTAAATAGTCTAATCATATTAGCAAATTTCCCCGAAATAATTGTAAAGTCTGGTTTTATTGGTGCAAGTTTTTCAAGGCGGTATTTAAAACATGGGCACACCAATTTTTGTGGGAAAACTTTTTATTCCACAACAAAGAATGAGAAAACGGGTTTTTTGGGATTCAATCAAAAGTGTCAACAGGAACGAAAAAACTGTTCACATGAATTTTTAGATATTTATGATACCTACAAAATGAGACCACACGTAAAGACATCCGCCTAATAGCAAAAATGTTATGGCCGAAAAACGAGGCAAAATGCAGGTTTTGGCACTTGTTGGTAATGCGTCGATAGTTTCAGGCAACTACTTGAATTTCCTCAAATCCGTAGGATTCATACTTCTAAATAATAACAACAAAATTGGATTATGTTAGTCAAGTAGTTTTTTGAGAATTTCTAATTGTTTATCACAAAACACCGGTTTTCTGGCCATCACTAACAGTTCATTGAGCAATATACAGGGTTCGTTCAAAGAGCATTTAATAGCAAAATGAATCACAAAAAATTCCGAAATATAAATATTTTATGCGAAAAACAAACGCCACGTTTTTTTTCTAAACAAATTCAAACATTTCGTATTTGTGAGTAATTGAACAAATGCGCTACGATATTCGAAAAACGTACGTTACTAGACACATTCTAAAACAAAGCGGATGTTTCTATCATATTTTGTTCCGAATTACTGTTTGGATTTGTTTAGAAGAAAAAACGTAACCCATCCTTTTTGCACAAAAATAACATTTATCTTCCGGGCTGGTTTGCAGTTCATATCGGCAAAACAGGTGTTTTGGGGTAAAGAATTAGAAATTCTCAAAAACTACTTGACCAATCTGCTCCAATTTTGTTGTGGGTATTTAGAAGAACGAATCCTACGAATTTGAAGAATTTCAAATATCTGCGAGAAACCATTGTCGCATTACCAACAAGTGCCAAAACCTACAGTTTGCCTCTGTTTTCGGCCATAACTTTTTTGCTATTAGTCGGATCTTCTTACGTGTGGTCTTATTTTGGAGGTCTCATAAATACCTTAAAATATTATTTGAAGAGTTTTTTCCTTCCTGCCAAAACTTTGGATTCAATCACAAAAAACACGTTTTCTCATTCTTTGTTGTCGAATAAAGAGTTTTCCCACAAAATCTGACTTTACAATTATTTCGCAAACCAGGGGTATTTGCGTCTAACTTGATTAGACTAAAATACGTAACTTTGTCACCAATCAAGTCTCTCTCACCGTTTCCTAGATACCAGTAGTGAAGGTCGAATTTGAAACGTCCGATATACATTTCATTCAAGTTAAATCACTTTGCTGTGCGTTCTATTTTCTTTACTCTATATTATTTTTTTGTCCGTACTAAAACGTAGACCTTTCCAACAGCATCGCGTAAATCGAATCGGAAAAATCAGAAACAAAGAATGTCCCTTTACTCAATCGAGTTCAGTTCCCAACTGGACAACAGACAGAACGACAGCGACAACGAATTCTACCATCTTCCACCACCTGTCTCGCCAAAACCCATGACACCACGACGAGTCAAGAGAAGAAGTGTCATGACAAGAGGATCTTCAGGTCGCCATAGCACCAGTAGTAGAAGACAATCTCACGCGAGGTCTTCTACTAGAAGCACTGCTTCTAGAAGAAACCCTGTGACCAGGTTGATTGAACAGCAACAGAAGGTGCCAACATCTTACGACAGTCCCGCAAGTCCTTCTTCTATAGAATCGCCTCTACCGAACTATTATCAGAATACTAATCAGAATTGGCCTATGCCCAACGGTCATACGAACCCTGTCTACCAACAGTCTTCTCAGCAATCTTTGAATGAAACTGAAGAGATTGATGAGTTGTACAACAGTAGACCTGCCTCCGTGAGGTCAAGCTACTCCAATTTCCACGGCACAAGAGCTATAAGCTATTCTCCTCCAAAGCACTATAATCATAGTCATGCTACACCCCAAGTGCCTCAGAAGAGGAACAATCCTAACAGGAATAGTATGAGGTCGATGGCATTTTTGAATAATGGACCTCCTGCATACACGTCGCAAGGTCAAAGTCCTATTGATACTGAAACTCCGATGTAGGGATAAGCTAATTTATTTTTTTATTTATATTTTACGTCCCGATAGCACAAACGCGGCAATTTAAACCTTAAATAGTGTCAATAATAATCTCTGAAAGTACTAGTATGCAAAAATGGTCACCAAATGTACAGTCCGCACCACTTAATTAAAACCAGCATGTTTTTTCTTATTTTTTTTTATACACATTGCTTTTCAGAAAGGGGCCATCCTACTTATTTTTTAACGGGTCAAGTCGCTAAGCTGAAATTCAAGATGCTGGAATTGACGCACGAGTACTATATTTTAATGTAAAAACAAAAGTTGCTGGCTAGGCGCTGAATACTTTATAACCTTAGAATATAAAATCTTTGAAAATGGTGAACTGGCAGGCTGTCAAAGTTGAGCGTTTTTGTAGATTGAATTGCTTATTGATCAACAACTGATCATCGAAACGTTAAGGTATACCAATCTTCTTCTTTTGGATGGATCTGTCTGTATGTGCAATAAAATATGCGACATTTCGTTTAAAGAAGAATGACAGATTTTGGCATTTTTTGAAGGAATTTTCCATATTTTATTACATACATATTCGGATATACCCTTCCAAGAGAGGAAGACTGATGATTGATTATTGAGGTATAAGTGACTCGGTGTATCAAAACGCTCAACTTTGAGAGTCTGTCAGATCACTATTCTCAAAGTTGGCGATTTTATATTTTAGGGTTGTACCAATAAGGAGCTTCAAAATCAAGTACGCACGACCCCTCATTCTATTTTGGAAAATGTATCAAAGTGGCGCCTAGCCACTGTAACTGCCACTTTTCGCTAAAATATAGTATTTTTGCAATTTCATTATCCCGAATTCCATTTTTCTAAATAGACCGTTCAAAAAATAATGGGGGAGACTTTTTGAAAAGCACCGTATAAAATGCATATATAGGGTTTGTCCAGAAAGTAATATGACTGAGTCGATTTAAAAAAGTTTATTGAGCCAATCGTTACAGTTCTTTAAAAACTTTCAAAATAGGCTCCTTCTGCGTCGATGCAGCGCTGCCAGCATGATTTCCAAGCATTGAAGG